AGGTTTCATCATCTGACAGGCAGGAAAACAACATGATTTCTATTTTAGCCAAGTGGAGAAACATGAAAAAAAGTGTTGCCATATACTTCAATATCATGTCCAAACACACCTTCATCCTGTACTCAAAATGGCACTTGTGTCAGTACTCAGCTGTTTAAAGCATCTTTGGAGAGGTTTCAGAGATAGAAATGACTAATATAACCTTCCATAATCTGGTGGATTACAATCCAGACTTGCAATCTTTCACCATTCTCAGTTGGCATACTTGTGACCTCATAGAGGAACAGCTTTCCTCAATATAATATTGTCCAAATTACAACTCCCATCATCCACTGAGCATAAAATTAATCAATAGATTTATGGTCCTTGGAATTCAAAATGGGGACTGGGAAAATAAGTGTTGATAACACAAAAAATGTAATTGAAAAGTCTTTTGTGTGTTAGGTATCATAACATGGTTTCTCAAAAATCTAACATTAATCACTAAAATGAATGCTTCCTTCTTCCGTATTTCCAGAAAACCTGACAAATAATCAAACTAAATGATTGTTTGTATTACATTCTCTTCTCCCACAATTCCCAAGGAGTATAGGTTGCTTAAAGATTATAAAAGTATTTTATAAACAGACCACCACCACCACCACCCAAAATCAAAGAGGAGCGCACATGTTCTAAAAGCATAAAAGTGTTTGTGTTTTTAATAATAAGATAAACAAGTTGAATATATTCTTCAACATTAAGAAACCTAATATGTATATATGCAAAATGAGTGCTTCACAATACTGAACAAACACATATTTGGCAAAAAAATGTGTCCACAAGAATTAGTCCAAGGAGAATTGCTATTCAGAATGGTCCAGAACATGGACTCCAACTGTAGTTCAGCACACACATATATGAAGCCCTAGATTTGTTTTATTTTAAAAATAAAGATGTGAAAAGCAGCTTTGTAAAGGGATGAATTGATGATTATTTTAGTATGGAGCAGAAGAGAGAAAGCAACACTTAACCTTTTCCTCACAATTCCTCTGCTCCCCCCAAATTCTTTTCAGTTTATGCCATTCCAGCCATATTTCCATTTCATTTCATAACTCTGTTTTGCTAATATATATCCTATCTTTCTGATACAAAATTATTCAATACAATTTACAGCAAAGAAAAATAGAATAACATTTATTCATCTGCACAAATATGCATTTGGTGCTCTGGAAGAGAAAAGGAACTTTCTTTACTAATAAATAAAATCCACCATTGGTGTTTCATGATATGCATTTGTCCACAATGCATAGCTTCCCCCAAAAGATTCTTTCCTTATAGCCAAGAAAACATCTTAAGAGTGTTTTCTCAGTGGAAGCAATTAATGATCTCCTTTATTCTCTTCCCTTAAGTATTAACTTATGCTAACATATTGAAATCAAATAAAGAGCTCAGTCTAATGCTTATTTGGTAAAATAAGAGACTGAATAGATTGACTCCATATTTATATATAGCAAACTGGGTGACAGACATGATGATGCTCAAGTTGTTTTCTCTGTGGCACTGGTACAGTCTGAAAATGTTAGAAAAAGTATTGGGAGGGGATTCTGTAAGGTGGCGTGGGTTGCTGAGCAGAAATCAGGCAGAAGCACCATCCGTTTATTGGGTGGATAGGGGGAAGGACAGAAAAAGATTGCAGAGGAAAGAAAAGTATAGGAAAATCTACTTCTATGAGTCCCACTGTATGCACTTAAATCTAAATCCAGATTTAGATTTAATCCAGATCTGAACTCAATGTTTCATTCACTTAGAAGTCACATTCCCTTCTCCAGGAGATCTTACTCCTAATCACAAGACTATGAGAAATAAGCTGGTTGCGGTTTCTCAGAAAAGGAAAGGCACAAATTTAATTTCTTCATCAGGATTGTTATATGAACTCTTCATAAGCCTTTGCTAATGTCACATTGTGTTAGAATTCTATTTATTCTTTGAGCTTCTTCAGACCAACTGATCAATCCACTAGTCTACAAACAGAATTCAGTGTAGGTGTAGGACGGGACCTGGTTGGTACCTGGAAAGGAGACTGTGAGAAAATTCAGGGCTGTAAATTTTGGGAAGCAAAACAAACTAAACAAAACAAAACAAAAACAACAACAAAGCATCTATAAGCAAACCATTTCCATAAAACTGCGTGGATATAGTCACTCAGGAGCCAATTTGGCTTAAGGGTACCTTCCCCTTTTTATTCAAACTCATTGCAAATTCTACTATGCATACAAAGCTCCACTACACACAGGGAACACCTAATCTCTTCACAGAAAGAAGCAGATTTGTCTGTTTGGGGGCAAAAGTTCCATATATGTTGTAGAGGGAAGGACAGAATATAGAGTGGGCTGAGTTGATCATGGGTTGATGATTGGTTGATCATGGGACAAATGCAGACTTTCCCAATATGGTGAGGATATACTGGCTAAATATTATGGAACTGAACTCAAATATTAGCGAAGGGTACTGAACTAGGGAAGGCTACCCTAGGATTACAAATGTTTGCCATGGGGCAACATTTATGCTCTAAAAACCTAGCAATTCATGCACGTAAGTTCCCTATTTGAATAATTATACAAACAAACACTGGTGCCAGTTCATATTCATTTACCAAGCAATCTTATATAGGTTTTCTCAGAAATAAAGTTCTCTTATGTTCAACAGCTCTTACTAAGTATGCATTTCTTTAACTAATATCTGCTATGCTAATATTTCTTCAATTCATGACACTTCAAGTAATAACATTACAGAGTTCCTGAAGACTGAATCAGGTAATTTTTTAAAAAGGCAAATAGTGATTTTTTAAAAAAATTATTTTTTCCAATAACTTACTTGACACCAGTACTGGAGAGCGAACAAAGAACACACTGTCAAAGAGGAAATCTGGACAGAATGTTACTGTTTGTCCTCTATGAAAGCAGAGGTATATTTGCTAAAAGAAAGGCATTCCATTCCTCTCCAGAGATTTCCCCTTCATTCAGTGCAACGACAGCACTGGGTTCACATCCCTTCCATTCAAGTTATGTCAGCCTGTCAGTTACAGACCCTTATTTGCTAGGCAGTACTTGGCTACAAAAATGAATCCTAGACTTCAACTTGGCTTTACTTGCTTCTAATATGAAAGCAATTTTATTTGTGTGCAATTTGCTTTTGTAAGCTAAGCAAGGACATTTAAATATTGAGCTCGTGGAAAATTACTGTGCAGAAAATATCCTTTGGCACTTCATTCCTGCCACTCAATCATTATTTTCGTGAAAAGTTAATACAATAACTGGGTATTAAAGTGCTTGCCAGCTTCCCCCTTCCCCTAATAGACAAACTGAGGTAGGATTACTCTTATTCGGAGAACAGCTTTCAGACTCTCTAATTCTTATTCCAGGTTATGG